TTTGGTCTCCACTGTGAAGAAAGGTGTATAAGTGAAATAAATAAATAATAAATACTGCTGAAGATGGGAGGTAGATAAAAGGTCAGTTGAAGAAAGACTGAGGAGAGAACACCATGGTGGCCATAATTTTTCTGGGTAGAGGCTGCCTAGGAGAAGGAAGGAGGGAAATCTGAAGATGGCAGATAAAGGTTAGGTTGGTGGGTGGGCGGTTGGGAAGGACAAAAGGGAGCAGGAAAAGGGGAGATGCTATGGAGGTTTTCAGGGAAGGAAAAGAGGAAATAGTGGAGGAGGGGGAGATGAGATGCCTCCCACAAGTATTTGCAGGTTCCTGCTTATAGCATTAGATTAGGCTATTTGCCAAGAGGTACTCATTATAAATGTTTATATATTTACTAGTTCAGTTCTAAAGCAGAGTTACATTCTTATAAGTCCTTTGAAGTAAATTGGCTTAGAAGGTTGTAACTCTACTTAGCATAGCGCTACAAGAAATCTAATGCTAGCTATCAGAGGCGGAAAGGTTTAAAGTATCTTTGCTGTCTTAGTAGTATCAGTTACTCTATTTAAAATGAAAGACTAGTTTTCCCCCCAAACATGCCTTCAAGAAAAGTTACAAGTATTTACAGTAATAAAAGGCATTTTGTCTATAACATTTGGGCACTTGCACATACACTAAATTACACACTTTTAATCTACTTTCAACGCACTTTGCAACTGGGTTTTACTGTATGAAATGGCAAAATCCACTTGCAAACGGTTGCTGAAGTGGATTAAAACTGCATTATTTAGCATATGTAAAAACGTTGAAGGGGCTCATCTTGCATTAAGGGTCATCTTCCCTATGTGGAAACACAGATATTCTTCAGTCTTCTGAAATGCATGGTAAGCATTGACAAATGAGAACTAGATTACTTTGTTATTAAGGTTTGTAGAATTCAGGTTTTGCCTGAACTGTCCACAGATTTGTCAAATCTTATGTACATCAGCTCTTCCTGTTCCAGGATGCATCAAACTTATTCCACTACTTCAAACCAAAGTGCACATACTGCATACTCACTGTAATTGAATCACAGAATCATAGAGTTGGAAGGGGCCATACAGACCATCTAGTCCAACCCCCTGTCCAATGCAGGACCAGCCTAAAACATCTCTGACAAATATTCATCCAGCCTCTTCTTAAAAGCTGTCAGTGAAGGGGAGCTAACCACCTCCCTAGGCAGCTGATTCCACCTTTGAACCACTCTGACTGTGAAAAGGTTTTTCCTAAAATCTAGCCGATACCTTTCTGCATGTAATTTAAACCCGTTGCTCCGGGTCCTGTCCTCTGCTGCCAACTGGAACAGCTCCTTACCCTCCTCCAAATGACAGCCTTTCAAATACTTAAAGAGAACAATCATGTCCCTTCTCAATCTCCTCTTCTCCAAACTAAACATTCCTAAGGCCCTTAGCCTTTCCTCATAGGGCTTACTCTCCAGACCCCCGATTTAGTTTACAGTTCACTCTTACCCCAAGATCTCTTTTGCATACACTACTCCCCAGAAATGTTTTCCCCATCCAGTATTTGTGCTTGACATTTTTGTGGCCCAGAGGTAATACTGTGCATTTATCTTTGTTGAATTGCATCCTGTTTGCAACTGGCCACTTCTCCAGAGTATTCAGGTCTTGTTGAATTTTAACTCTATCTTCTTGGGTGTTTGCTACTCCTCCCAATTTGGTATCATCAGCAAATTTAATGAGTAGCCCTTCTACCCCTTCATCCAGATAACTGATAAAAATATTGAAAAGTACCGGGCCCAAAACTGAGCCCTGCGGCACCCCGCTGGACACCTCCCTCCAATCTGATGAGACACCATTGACCGCCACTCTTTGGGTGCGGTCCTCTAACCAGTTTCCTGTCCACCTGTAATATATCCAGTTCAGACCATGTGGCCAGCTTGGGCTCCATGCGTTCAAGCGCAAACGTCAAGCTTCGCTCAAAGAGACAATGGACTATGCGAATCCTAGCCCGCGCCAATCAGGGGGCTAGGTTCCCGGCTGAGAGCCTATGGAAATCTTGGCCACTGTAAATAACCTATTGGGAAGTGGGGGTCTGTTTTGGGTGGCAGTTTCACAGGGAATATAAGCCGGCCTGCAAGCCGGCCAAAGTCGTCTTGTTCCTGATCGAATAAAGTACACTTTGCTGAAATCACTCTCCATCTGCGTACTTCTCACCACTGAACTGTCCTATAGTCCAGTCCACAGTCTTCCAGTTTGCCCATCAGAATGTCATGGGGAACCTTATCAAAAACTTTACTGAAATCCAGGTAAATCACATCAACAGAGTCCCCATGATCCAGTAAGCTCGTCACACGATCAAAGAAGGAAACCAGATTGGTCTGACAAGAACTGTTGGGGACAAAACCATGCTGACTTCCCTGGATCACTAAGTAGTCCTTCAGATGCTTACAGATCAATCCCTTTAAAATCTGCTCTAATATCTTCTCAGGAACAGAAGTCAGACTGACCGGCCTGTAGTTTCCCGGGTCATCCTTCTTCCCTTTTTTAAAGATTGGGATAACATTCACTCTTCTCCAATCTTGTGGCACCTCCCCAGTCCTCCAGGAGGCCTTGAAGATGATGGACAGAGGCTTAAAAGTGCTTTCTCCTGTACTACTGAGGCAGCCCAGCAAAGCAAGCTCTCCCTCGTTCCCTCCCTGCCTTTGGGGACGAGCCTCAGCCAGTAGAAGGAAAGAAAGGCTGCCCTTTGTCTCCTGCAGCTTGGCCAGGAAGAGAGCTCTGGCTGTTCCCTCCCTTCCCTGGGAGGAGGAGGAAAAGGAGTCTCAGCCAGTTCTTTACCAGACTCAATTGCACAGGAGAGCCTTGCCTATCGATCTCTCCTGTGCGATTGAGAGAGACTGGTAACATGGCAGCAGCAGCAGAACTGCAAATAGAATTAGGAAACAACCAGGGCCTTGTGGGCCGGATTAGGGCCCCCCGAGGGCCTGATCCAGCCCATGGTCCACATGTTTGACACCTCTGTCTAATGCCTTTGAGAACGCTCCAAGCAATTAAAAAGCATATGCAGGAGAAAGAGAAGGAATACCTATGATTCCCACATATGTTATGTAACAATGGTTTACTAATTTACTTCTGATTAGAGTAACACTATAAGGCACATATTATCTATAGACTACACTTTCAAAAATAACCCTACTTTACAAGTTCAAATACACAGTTTACCTCTCATTCCAGTCCCTGAACACTTCTGATACCCCTAGGGGCTGCCATTCCACTCTGGGGCCTCTCATCCCAGTCCCTGAACACTCCTGCTACACCCTGGGGCTGAAAGTTCACTCTGGGCCCTGTCCTTCTGATTCCAGAACACTCCTGCAAACCCCAGGGGCTGTCATTCCACTCCATGGTCTCTTATTCCAGTCGCAGAACAATTTTGTTACTCCTAGGGGCTATCATTCCACTCTGGGGCCTTTCATCCCAGTCTCAGAACACTCATGCTACCCCCAGGGGCTGTCATTCCACTCCATGGTCTCTTATTCCAGTCGCAGAACAATTTTGTTACTCCTAGGGGCTATCATTCCACTCTGGGGCCTTTCATCCCAGTCTCAGAACACTCATGCTACCCCCAGGGGCTGTCATTCCACTCCGTGGTCTCTCATTCAAGCCCCTGAACACTCCTGCTACACCCTGGGGCTGTCATTCCAGTCTGTGGCCTGTCATTCCTGTTTCAGAGCACTCCTGCTACACCCTGCGGCTGTCATTCCACTCCATGGTCTCTCATTCCAGTCGCAGAACATTTCTGTTACTCCTAGGGGCTGTTATTCCACTCTGGGGGGTCTCATCCCAGTCCCTGAACACTCCTGCTACACTCAGGGGCAGTCATTCCAATATGGGACCTTTCATTCCAGTTCCAGAACACTCCTGCTACCCCCAGGAGCTGGCATTCCACTCCATGGTCTCTCATTACAGTCCCTGAACACTCCTGCTACCCCCAGGGGTTGTCATTCCACTCCATGGTCTATGTTCCAGTCCCTGAACACTCCTGTTACACCTTGGGGCTGTCATTCCCCTCCATGGTCTCTCATTACAGTCCCTGAACACTCCTGCTACACCCTGGGTCTCTCATTCCAGTCCCAGAATACATTTGTTAGTCCTAGGGGCTCTCATTGCACTCTGGGGTCTCTCATCCCAGTCCCTGAACACTCCTGCTACACCCTGGGGCTGTCAATCCACTCCCTGGTCTCTCATTCCAGCCGCAGAACAATTTTGTTACTCCTAGAGGCGTCTTTGTCGTTCCATTCCCAGAATAGTCTTTTTGGGCTCAGAGACCCTAATGGAAAATCTATTCCGCATTTTTATTGCAACTCTCCTTGTACTGTATTGTATTTCAATGGGGCCCATGCAAGTCAATTGGCATGCCTGGCTTCCATTATTTCCAATGGGCCTTCAAGTGTTTCCCATTGTTTCCAATGGGCAATCATGTCCTTCCTTTTAGTACCTCCTTTTACAGCATAAAGCATATGGTCTGGCGCAGAGGCAAGGCTCTTCTCTAGAGGGTCAGCTAAATGGGATGGACATAAAACGAAGATTCATTTATTAAAAAATATGAATTTCGTTCCAAACGCCATTGAGAAGTATTTTTTTAAAAATGACTCCGTTGATTGGAAGGAAAACCAAATTGCGGCGAATGCATCAACAGAATTTGAACTATTTCAACGCCAAAAATGTTAGCTTTAATCGCGTGAAAACGGGAACGAAACTACAATTCCCGACAGACACCTGCTAGTCTTTCCGGCGGGCAATCGTGACGTCCTCTAAATTTGAAGCGCAGGAAGTAAAACTCGCGCGCTATTCTGAAAGTCACGTGTGAATGCCTGTAATTCCCGGGGGCGGGCGGGTTAAGTTTGTGGAACAAACGGAAGTTCCGGGGGCTCGTCTTTGCTCTGTTCTGTAATAGATCCACGCAGCCACTCTCGCGCTATTTTCCAGGATCCTGTGCCTGAGCATCGATGCGCTGCAGTAGCCAGGTATCTTGCAGCAGCATTGTCCCGAGGCATAGTGGGGTGCGTTGTGCGCGCAGGTGCTGTCTCTTAGTAACCCAGGCCTGTGCTGCTGTCACGGTATGCATTCGTCTCCCCTTGCCGCCAGCTGGCAGCTTTACTGTTTCGTTTACGCGTTGCGGTTGGTTTCCGATTGAATAAATGTATCGCTTTTAGGAGTAGCGCAGTGTTTTTTTTAAATCCACTGCTCTCGGGTGAACTCTTGCAGGTAAGAGCATGCCTGCTGATAAGGCCTAGTGGCTTCCTTTGCCATTTTTGACTCCTGGGAAGCGCCCTCCCATTTTTAAGAAAAGCTCGAGTTTACATTCTTTATTTCTTCATTAGTACTTGATTGGCTTTTATTCTAAATCTAGATAAAACAGCATTCTTTATGGGTCTGACCAAGCTGGTGTGGAATCATTTGTGCAAGGGATTCAGGTTCTAAGGAACTCTTCCTCATATTCCCCCATAAGAAGTTTTGTGAAACGTGGAAAGCCTGCATATTTTTATACTGACACAACCTAAGTAGAAACAGTAAAAGGTGGCATTCTGCATTCCTTTTCTCTAGGGCCAACAGGGTAACCACTTTGTCATTTTCTATTGACCCTTGATTTTCTGTTTTGTTATATCCAAAATAGAATGCAAACTCTTTGTACTGAGGCTTGTTATGTTTTCTGCAGCATCTACCTGTAGGTTTTCTAAGTTTGTTTTATTAATACCTGTAAGTGCTACTAGTAAAAGTAGGCTATGTTTAAAAAGGTTTTTTTAATTGTCAGAGTAAGTGTTGGCTTTGTGTTACTTTATATCTTTTTAATGTCATTTTTTAAATAAATAAATAAATTATTACCACAGTTTCTTAACCAATTACTCTGTAACTTTACAGTGTTAACTATTAAAAAGGGACTAGTCTTTAGACTGATTGCTGTGGAATTACGCAGTCTATTTATTTATTGAGATTTATATCCTGCCCTACCCCACAAACTGACTCAGAGTGGTTTACGAAGTGTCAAACAATTCCATAAAACATAAAATCAATTTTAAAAAATTCCAACAAAGTTAAATTCAAATTACTGATTTAAATACCTAACTGGCAGCTTAGCAGTTAGTTACATTTCAGTGCACACTGAGTTAATGCCAGGGAAAGGTGGTGGACCATTCTGATGGAATAACTCAACCACTCCTGGCATCAATAAATGTAAATAGAGCCATAGAGTAATTGAAGCAGTTGAGACAATTGAGGTTAAAATTAATTCAGTGATGCTGTGTATTTATGTTTTTTCAGATAATGGACTGCCTTGTGTCTTCTCAGAACCAGAAGGAGGGTAATGCTTCCCTTCAAGAGGATGAAAGTGAAGAGGATATTGAGTTTGTTGGTGTATGTAGATACTTACACTTGTTCAGTTCCTTTAAGCATTGTTGTTGACAAAAATAGAATCTCTGCAGTAGTTTGAATATTTCACAGGCTTGAGTATTTGTATCCTGCCAGCATGATGAAGCAAAATACTTTTTAAAATAAAGTCTCAGGATAGGAAAATGATAATCTATGTACTATTAGCCACCTGTGGCCCCCATCTGCGGATAGCTAAATCCATGGATTGGGGCCACACAGAAATTAAACAGATCTTTTAGCAAACTTGGGGCACTCCCTACGTTTGCAAAAAAAATCTGATTTAAAAATGAACAAACAGTGGGGGTTTAAATTTCTCCCCAGATACTTCACGGGGCCTGGGAGCCGCACTGTGCCTGGTGACAGTGGACACCAAACTCAGGAGCTGAACCTGGCTTGGCACTGGGTGGGGGATATGGGGTTCCCCCCCTGCTCACAGCAGTGGAGGATTGATGGAGGACATAATGCTTGGTGATTGAGTGTGGGGATATGGGATCCCATCCCACTGGGGATCTTCCCCCCCAGGGAATCAGCAGTAATTGGGGGGGAGGGATACTCCTCTCCTCCAAATTTCGTGACTCTCCACTTGGATTGTATTCTAATAGCGAAGTCAGGATGTCTTTGGATGCTTAAATACAGTAACTGGAGCTGTGGACAGGCAAGACAGATAATTCTATGAACCTGAAAAGGGCCCTAGGTTTGCAGAAAAATGTTAAATCTAAAATAAAATACACTGGGCAGCTTTAAAAAATCCAAAAATGGTAAAAGGAGCATCTGTAGCTTTAAGCAGTGGATCCCCTCAGTGGCTTTTGCTAGGCGACCACAGTATTCCAATCTTGGCTCTGTCAGTAAAGGCAGAGGGAGGGGATAGGGACTTTCCAAGCCTACCCTGTTTTCCCGAAAATGACCTACCCCAAAAATAAGCCCTAGCAGGATTTCTATGCATTTGTGGTATAAGCCCTAGTGTGTCTTCTTGAGAAAAAAATAAATATAAGACAGTGTCTTATTTTCGGGGAAACACGGTATTGGCCTTTGAGGGAGAACTAATTGGGGCCAGGCCTGGCTAGAGTTGCCAACTCCAGGTTGGTAAATTCCTGGAGATTTTATGATGAAGTCTGAGGAGTGCAGGGTTTGGGGAGGGGAGAGGCCTCAGCATGGTCCAGCCTCCAAAACAGCCATTTTCTCCGGGGGGACAGGAGTCTGGAGTTGTAATTCTGGAGGATCTCCAGGTCCCACCTGGAGGCTGGCAATCCTTGGCCTGATGGCAGCCTCTGGATGACTTGATGCCACCTAACGTGCATATTTCAAGCAGGCCTGACTGTTTACTATTGTTCAACAGCAGCCACCCTTTGAAAGCCAGTGTTGTGTAGTTTCAGAGCAGGATCTGTGAGTTCCAGGTTTAGATCCCCATCTTGCTGTGGAAGCTGACTGGGTGATTTTGGACCGGTCACATACTTTCAGCCTAACCTACCTCAAAGGGTTGTTATGTGGATAACAAGGAGTAGGATATAATGTAAGCTGCTTTGGCCCCACTGTGGAGAAAGGTGGGGTGTAACCTGTGAACACCTTGAACAGAATGGTTAATTGGTAGTAGCCAGCATGGGTTTATCAAGAATAAGTCATGCCAGACCAACCTTATCTCCTTTTGTGACAGAGTTAACTAAAATGGTTGACTCCGGCAATGCTGTGGACATAGTGTATCTAGGTTTCAGTAAAGCATTTGACAAAGTTCCTCATGATATCCTTGAGGATAAGCTGGTCAAATGTGGGCTGGATGGTGCAACCATTGGATGGATTCATGGTTGGTTGAAAAATCGTACCTAACGAGTGTTCATAAATAGTTCTGCGTCTACGTGGAGGGAAGTCTCGAGTGGAGTGCCGCAGGGCTCGGTCCTGGGCCCGGTGTTGTTCAATGTTTTTATAAATGACCTGGAGGAAGACATAGAGGGGATGCTTATCAAATTTGCAGATGACACGAAGCTGGGTGGGATTGCTAATTCTGAAGAAGACAGAGTCAGGATTCAAAATGATCTAGATAGGCTGGAACAGTGGACTGAGACGAATAAAATTAATTTCAATAGAGATAAGTGCAAAGTCCTACACTTAGGTACAGAAAATCAAAGACACAGATATAGAATGGGAGGGACATGGCTTGACAACAGCACATGTGACAGGGATCTAGGTTTTCTAGTTGATCACAAGCTAAACATGAGCCTGCAGTGCGATGTGGCTGTGAAGAAAGCTAATGAAATCTGAGGATGCATTAACAGAAGCATTGTGTCCAGATCAAGGGAGGTGGTAGTTCCGCTCTATTCTGCTATGGTCAGGCCTCACCTGGAGTACTGTGTCCAGTTTTGGGCACCACATTTTAGGAAGGATGTTGACAAGCTCAAGCGTGTTCAGAAGAGGGCAACCAGGATGGTGAGAGGGTTGGAATCCAAGTCTTATGAGGAAAGGCTGAAAGAGTTGAGTATGTTTAGCCTGGGAAAGAGAAGGCTTAGAGGGGACATGATTGCAGTCTTCAAATATCTGAAGGGCTGTCATGTAGAAGATGGAGCAGATCTATTCTCTCTTGCTCCGGATTGCAAGACTAGATCTAATGGGTGGAAATTACAAGGGAGTCATTACCAGCTGAATATCAGGAGAAACTTCCTAACTGTAAGAGTGGTTGAGTAGTGGAACAGACTGCCTTGGGAGGCGGTGGATGCTCCTTCGCTGGGCATTTTTAAGCGGAGGCTGAACTTTCGGGTATGTTGTAGAGCTATCTTTCAGCTATGCTCCTGCAGAGTGCAGGAGGTTGGACTAGATGACCTGTAAGGTCCCTTCCAACTCTAACATTGTATGAAATGAAGTACATAAAGACTAAATATAGCTAAAAATGGGAGGTAGATAAAAGGTAGGTTGGTGAATGGATGAGAAGACGAGTATGAGGCAGGGAGAGGATATGGGGATTCCCAAGAAGTTAGAAAATTCCTAGAAATTGGAGGGAGGGGGGTTTGGGGAGGGGAGGGACCTCAGAGGGGTATAATGCTGTAGATTTCACCCTCCAAAGCATCAATTTCTACTAGGGGAACTAGGGTCGCCGACCTCCAGGTGGGGGCTGAAGATGTCCTGGAATTATAACTTTTCCAGATGATAAAGATCAGTTCCCCTGGTGAAAATGGCTTCTTTGGAAGGTGGACTTTATGGCATTATACTTTGCTAAGGTTGCTTCCCTCCTCAAACCTCACCCTCCCAAAGCTCCACCTCCAAATCTTTAGGGATTTCCCAACCTCGATTCGGCAACCCTAATGGAGAAACTGATCTCTGTAGTTGGGAGGTGTGTGTTTCCAGGGAAATCTCCAGCCCCCACCCAGAGGTTGGCAGTGCTAGAAGAAGAGAAGGAACCAGGAAAAGGGGATAGACTATGGGGGCTTTCAGGGAAGAGGAAATAGTGGGGGAGGGGGAAGTGAGTTGCCTTGCAGGTTCTCACGTGTGGTATTTATAACGCAGGTTATTTTAAAGGAAGTTCTCAACATGAGCTAACATTTCTGTGTCTGAAAATGTTTTGACCCTTTTCAGTTGTAGACTCATTAGAATTATCAAATGCCCTTATTAATGCTTTCAGTTTATGAAATGTCCACAGAACTGCAGAAGAGGGTTTCTGAGATGGCATCTTAGGTACTTGCAGCCTGGGAGAATGAATAGATATCTTAATGGACCATACGAAGGCATTCCAATCCGTATTCTCAGTTAGAAGCCAATTAAAGATATTGCCTGCTGTGATTCTTTAGACCTCCACAAACTGATTGTATTATTCTAAGAAGGTCTCTATTTCCAAACACTAACAGCTTTATAACAGTGTCTTTGTCCCAATATGTCATTATTCTAGATACACCATTCAAGAGTTACACTAGCTCATTACTTTAAGCGACCTAGTTTAGTTATCCAAGAGGAAGTGGTGAAACCATACATGCTAATAATGAGCGAGTACAGAATCTATCTTAAAAAAAAAAATAGATGTTACAGAAACTACTCTGATAATCTCGAGATGAGACTCTTAACTGTCTTTTTATAATGACAGGGATGAAATATGGTCAGTAAAATCAGTAAAAGTCCGTTTTTTCATCCTGGTCAGTAATTTGTCAGTTTTTTTAAAAAAATTGGTCAGTAAAGTCAGTATTTCTTTGTTTTTTGTGAATGCAGATTGTGTTTTTCCATTTTCATCACTGCATTTTTGGGGAAACATGATGACTTCCCAGTGAGAAGACAAATTGTTTTCAGTTTAGTTATGAAGTACTTTAAGGACTTTGTTCCTAAGAGTAAAAATGATTTGGTGAAATCTTCCACAAAGTATAGAAACATAATTTACTTGGATTTAGGACTTCCGTTTTTTGGTGCAGTGGCAGCAGACCAGCTCCGGGAGATCTCCTGAAGAGCTGTGCCAGATCATTGGATTTGGAAGGGGTTCAAAACAATCTTGAACCCCCTGGGCTCCCTGGAGAGGAGCCCAAGCAGGGGGCTTGATCTTGGACTCTCTGTAAGTGGCGGCAAACGAATTGAGTCCAAGATCGCCCTCAAGCACAAATCCAAATGAGCGTAACTGTGATCCTCCACCAGGATGGAGGGAAGTAGCAGACCTCATCTGAAGTCACAACTAACCTTATCACTGTGAGTACTCTATAAAGCATCGCAACTCGAAGAGATTTTGATATTATAGTCCTTTCAAGGAGACTTAAAAAAGAATGGAAGGATGGAAAGAAAATTTTCTCCCCCCTCCCTCTATGAAGTGGCTTAGCAAAGAATCATAGAACTTGGCATTTGGAGTGTTTTTCTTCAAGGGCTAGAAGAGGAGGAAACAGTGGATGTCTGGGATTTTTTCCTTGTTATAATACTCTACTTTTCAACTGCTATTTGATTTATTGTGCTGTTGTGGATTACAATATTAGAACGTTGGGATAAGTTCTGGTTTTATTAAAGCCTCCTTTGGGATTACAATTTGAACTGAGGAAAAAAAGATTATTTTATTCTTATCCCTTTGAAGATACCAAATCAGGTTACAGTTTATTTTAATCCTTTATTTGGAATACAAATACAAATTAAAGATAAAGTGACTGTGTTGTTTGTTATAAAAGAAGAAAGAAAAGGAAGACACCCGGACTTGGTGGGAACTTACTTTTACTTTCTATACATCACCTCCATTTGAGATAGGTTCTAAACTTGGAACTGTTATGTCTTTGAAGGTTATATGTTGTTGCTTTTAAGGTACAGTCTGTGCAGAGTGTAATGCAAATGGCTGATAACTGTTTCTTGTGATTACATTGACTGGGAGGGTGTTTATGGGCAACTAAAGGGAGCTTCTTTTTTACATATGGAGCACTCATTATAGAGGTGTGTAGTAGGTTAAAGGTACAATACAGGCCATTGATAAGAAAGGAAAACCCCCCCCCCCAATCTTCATCTCCTAGTCAAGGTAAATCAGTAACTACCAGCTTGGCACAGATTTCAGCAAAAGGTTTACAAACTTTGATTCAAGATGCTGTAACTGCAGCTGTTCATCTTATGCAAACTAAATTGTACTCCTTGTCACAACAGATGACACAGCAGATGACAGAAGTACAAAAGCAACTTATGGAAAATAGACAAGAGATGTCCACTTTGGCTAAAGCAGTTAAGCAGATGGAAGACAAACCTGAAAAAATGCAATTTAAGGTACAGAAAGTAGTATCAAAACAAAATTCTATGGAGGAGGCTCTCATCAAGCTAGAACTTCACAAAACAGCATATATTCTTAAGATTTCAGAATGTACTAGAGAAAAAAGATGAAGATTTGAAAATTGATATGACACAAGCACTTGCTGCTTATATGGGTGCAGAGAATCCAGATGAAATATATAATGAAATTGACATGGCCTATAGAATGAACTCTGCCTATGCAAGGAGACAGATTGCCAAGAGAAGTGCATGTGAGATTTAACAAAAGAACAATAAGAGATGCTGTCCTCAATGTGACAAGCGAAACACCTTTCCAAATAGATGAGACAAATAAAAATCTTAAAGGAGGGTGAGAGAGAAAAGGAGAGACTACACAGAACTTGCAAGCATCCTTAGAAAGAATGAAATTACATACTTCCAGAGGTCCTCCTTTTTACTTACAGAGGGAAAAGACATAGAATCAACTCTATATTTAAAGTGAAAGAATTTATTAAAACATATGGCGATGATCTGAAGACAGAGGAGGAACAAACAGAAGCTAACAAAGAAGAGTCAATTGAAGAGGACCAACAAGAAGCAATTGGAACAACTACAACAACTGGAACAAATACTGTACCCCAGATGGTTACAAGATTTAAGATGAAGAACAAAAATGATAACAAAACCCAGAATAAAGATGGATAGAGGAAAAATAAAGATCATCTCAGTCAATCTTAACTGATTAAATGCACCCCAAAAAAGAAGACTGATCTTTCAACAACTGAAGAAGATGCAACTGGATGTTATACAAGAGACTCATAAAAGATATTCAGATCAAAATATTTGGAATATAAAAAACTTGGAAAAAATCTTATATCTTCAGATAAAGGGGGGGGGAAGGTGTAGTTCCGCTCTATTCTGCTTTGGTCAGGCCTCCCCTGGATTACTGTGTCCAGTTTTGGGCACCACATTTTAGGAAGAATGTTGACAAGCTCGAGTGTGTCCAGAAGAGGGCAACCAGGATGGTGAGAGGGTTGGAATCCAAGTCTTATGAGGAAAGGCTGAAAGAGTTGGGTATGTTTAGCCTGGGAAAGAGAAGGCTTAGAGGGGACATGATTGCAGTCTTCAAATATCTGAAGGGCTGTCATGTAGAAGATAAAGCAGATCTATTCTCTCTTGCTCCGGATTACAAGACTATATCTAATGGGTGGAAATTACAAGGGAGTCGTTACCGGCTAAATATCAGGAGAAACTTCCTAACTTCAAGAGTGGTTGAGTAGTGGAACAGACTGCCTTGGGAGGTGGTGGATGCCCCTTGGCTGGACGTTTTTAAGCGGAGGCTGGACAACCATCTTTTGGGTATGTTGTAGGGCTATCTTTCGGCTACACTCCTATAGAGTGCAGGGGGGTGGACTAGATGACCTTCAAGGTCCCTTCCAATTCTAACATTCTATGATTCTATGAGGTAACATTAAAGAACGTTTACATCCAGAATTATTATACAGTTCTGAAGATGGGAGAATTTTGATAGTCCAAGTTCAAAGACAAGTTAAAATAACTCTTAATTATAAATATATATGCACCCAACCAACACCAAGGAAAAAATTTTAAACTACTCCATGAACCTATTTCTGAACACAACTATGATTAAATTTGTCTGATTGGAGACTTATAATGCTGTTTTTGATAGACTCTCAGATAGAAAGACAACTACTGGAAAACAAAAACAGGGAAACGAACTTCCTAATACATAAGATGGAAAAATTCCTGCAAATTAAGGAACAGATTAGGAAAGAGGAAGAAAATTTGAAGCAAGATACTTTAGTTGAATACTTAAGAATGAAACTAAAGTTTTTACAACACCAAATGAATTGTCTGCTGGCAGAAGAAATAGCCAAAAAAATTACATATGCGAAACAAAACTTTTTTGAAAATGCTAACAAACCAACCAGATGGTTAGCATATAAATTAAGAAAATAAAAAACAAAATTTTAAGGGATGGTGAAGGAGAAGAAAAAAAACCCCTCAATGACCTAAAAAAATAATTGAGACATTTTATAGAAAGTTATATCAAAAAGGAAAAGCCATGGACTTCCAGTTGTGGCAATCTAATAGCGGACACGTCTGTCGGGAGCTCCCGAGGACGCGATCCGGGAGCCAGCGGAAGAAGAGGGTGTGTGACTGTACATGCCCCCCTGGAGCCCTTGCGATGGGTTCCTACCCATGGCGCGCTGAGGATCGCCTCTCGCCCAGCACGGTGCCGGTGGATTGAGGCATTCTGATGCCCCGACAGTCTTGCTGCTGTGTTCCAGTATTGGACTCAGAGACGCACACCAGGACAAGCGAGTGGAGGTCGAGCGCTTTACACGTTTGATGGCGAGATCCATCTGATCTACATAGAGAGTGAGTTTGGTTGAAACGAGAACCAGAGAAATGTCTGAAAGTCTCCCCTAAAATAAGCGAGGGAGGGTGGGAACCCCCCCCTGCGGAAATAAAAACGGATTTAAAGCATATCTTTTAAAGGGGGGCGGAACTGAAAGCAAAATGTTACTAAAGTAAGGAACGTACAAGAGAATTACAGGCAACTTGCAGACTTTAGAGACTTTGGGCAAACTTTTCTAAATTTAAACAGCTTCAAAGATGTCACTGAAAAAGATGGAGAAAGATAAGCAAACGAAACCTAAGACTTCTTCAGGAATTGCTAGCCCAGCAAGCGCGGTCATGCGACCGGATGCAACCATAGACTTCTCTAAGATGCTAACAGAAGCTTTGCGACCCCTGCTGGAGCAAATGACGACACTCAATCAAAACTTCGCTGCACTGCAACAGCAATTAGACGAGACCAAAAAGAAAGCAGAGCAAACAGCTGAGAATCCTAAAGAAGTGGATGCCAACACCAAAAAGCTTAAAAAGCAAATGCAGGAGATGGAAAAGAAGAGAAATTCTGATGAAGCCCAGCTTTTACAGCTTCAAATGGAAAAGGCAAGCTTTACACTGAGATTTCAGGGAGTTCCTGAGTTTAAAGGGGAGAATCTTATACAGACTATGAGTGATGCCCTGGGACTGGTTGCAGATTTAAAAGTAGATTTTCTTCAAGGTGAGATGGGTGTGATCTCTAGGTCATATTCAGAATACATAAAGAAAAATAATCTGCCCGGTGAGGCGGTGGTTAGATTCTCCCGAAGACATATGAGGATCAGATATTAAAAGCAACAAATGGAACTACCTTTAAAAGTGATGGCGAGATAATTCTGAAAGACATTCCCTTTGAAATAAGGAAAAAACGGAAGAAATACAGAGAATTGGTGCTGTTTCTACAAAATAATATCTCCTACAAATGGATTGTACTTGAAGTCATACTTTTCAAATTTAAAAATAAGAGGGGAAAAATTGATTCTGTTATGAAAGCACGTGAGTTTTTGCAGCAACAATTGGATCCAACAGGGGAAGAAGACGAGAAGAGCAACAAGGGGAGTGATGATGAAACACTTTCTGGAGAAGACTCAAGATTCGGAACGTGGGGCGGCTGCCCCCAAGCAAGGATATCAATTGAGGGAAAGAAGAGGCAAATGAGATGTCAATTTTCTCTGAAGTTTGGTCTTAATATTTAAGCGTTCTTGGTTTTGTTTTTTACTAAGTCAGAATACCTGGACTTGGAATTTTTTTAAGTGACTTTAACTATTACTTTCAATGTAACAAATTATTATTTTTTATTTAAAGCTATTTTATTGTAATCATTATATGACCACGACCTCTTGGGTTTTTAGAGGTTTATCTTTACTTTCTTCTGTAGTTTATAGTTTCCCTTTACTTATTTTCTTGTAGCTATGGAAAATTAAAAATTATAAAAGAAAAAGAAAAAAAGGAGAAGCCACACGAGAAGAAATTAAAGATTTTTGAAAAGAAATATAATTTAAATAAATTTAATGAAGAACAGGAAAATCTTAAGCGATCAAGTATCACCCTGTGAAATTATTGAAGCAAAAAAAAGGGGAAGACACCAAGTCCTGATGGTATATCAGCAGAATTTTACCATGTGTTTGAAGACCAACTGACATTACCTTTAAAGTATGTTATACAGAGTATAAGAACAGATGGAAGAACACCAGAAACTTCGAATGAAGCCTTAATAACTTTGATACATAAACAAAACTCAGATGAGAAAGAGATTAAAAACTACAGACCAATCTCATTATTAAACGTGGACTATAAAATCTATACTGCTATTGTAGCTGCAAGACTGAAAAAAATATTGATGCAGATAATTCACCAAGACCAAGCAGTTTTTTTAACCAAAAAGACAACTTAGAAATAATGTAAGAACTGTTCAAAATGTTATTGAATATTTTGAAGCTCATCCAGAGAAACAGATGACTTTAATTTTTTTAGATGCTGAAAAAGCATTTGATAATGTTAACTGGAGTTTTATGTAGGAACAATTGTTAGATTCACAATGTGGTAAAGAATTTTTACAGTAGTCAAAGCAATTTGTATTAAACAACGAGCTAGGATTCTCATCAATGGTGATCTATCACAAAGCATTGAAATTAGAAAAGAAACTTGATAAGGTTGTCCACTTTTACCACTATTGTTTATATCTGTATTTGAAATATTGAATAATATGCTTAGAGAGAATATATATATATTAGAGAAAATAAGAGGAGAAGAATATAAACTGCAAGCATTTGCAGATGACTTGGTATTTATCATAGAAAATCCACTGGACTCAATTACACAGTTATTAACAACATTACTGAATTATGGCTATGTAGCGGGATTGAAGATTAACCTGACCAAGAAAAAATGCTAACAAAAAATATGACTAAGGACCAAGTGCAACAACTACAAGAAAAATCAGGTTTTGAATCACAAAAGAAAGTGAAATATTTAGGAATAAATATAACAAATAGATGTAGCTCTTTGGTGAAAGACAATTACACTGAATTTATGATAGTAATTAAAAAGATTTGGAAAAATGGAAAATCTACAAATATGTTTGATGGGTAGAATAGCTACAATAAAAATTAATATTCTTCCAAGATTGATTTTTTAAAATTTCAAACGATACCAGTTCTCCAAAATCAACAGTTTTTAAAGAACTTGACAAAGTAATGTCACAATTTATATGGCAGAAGAAAAAACCAAGAATAAAACTGAAAGCTTTACAAGATGTCAAAGAAAGTGCTGGATTTGCGCACTCCAGATTGGCTTTTATATTATAGAGTGGCAGCACTGATGTGGTTAAAAGAATGGATCACATTAGAAAACACTAGGTTATTAACTTTAGAGGTACACAATCTATTATTGGGGTGGCATGCATTTATGTGGTATGGAAAATCAGATATACACAACTATTTTAAACAACATCTGATTAGGAAATCCTTATTGATGGTATAGGAAAGTATTAAAAGATTATTGTTCAATAAGACACCCAAATGGGTTTCACCACTTGAAGCTTTTACAAATCCTAATTTACTGCAAAAAAAACCCCCAAAGACGTTGAGATATGAAGACTTGTTTGGTAATAAAAATGAATTAAAATCAACAGAAAGACTCAAAGAACAAGAGATTAACATAGTTTGGTGGGAAAGGATACAAATAGAGTTAAGATTTGCTAAAGACAAGCCATTGGGTTTTTATTCAAATATAACGGAAATGGATAAGGTACTGTTACATACTGCTCTTAAGCTGTTGAAGAAATTTTATACAATAATGTTAGAAGACATAACTCAAGATGAAGTAGTTAAAAACTGTATGGTTAAATGGGCACAAAATCTGGGTCATAATATTGAGTTAGACCAATAGTCACGTATATGGAAAACAAATACAAAGATTACTAAAGTGATTTCATACAATGAAAATATATATAAAATGTTTTATAGATGGTATATTACCCCAAATAAATTAGCTAAATTTTACCCTAACCTACCAAATGATTGTTGGAAATGTAAAAACTATGTTGGTTCATATTTTCATATGTGGTGGATAAAGTTAACAAATATTGGAGCTGGATACATGGAATTTTGCAAAAAATGTTAGAAACTATTGTGCCTTATACACCAGAATTGTTTCTATTGAATATATCACAAGATAACTATCAAAAGCAAGATTTTTATCTCACTATACATATTGCGACAGTGGCAAGAATATTATAAGCTAAATATTGGAGAAGAAGTAAAACAACTTCAAAGGAAGAAGTTATAAATAAAATATTGGAAACAGCAGAGATGGGCAATTTAATGTCAGTCTTCAGAGGAAATAACAAAGAAGAATTTGAGGACACATGGTCAAGGTTTTATAAATGGATAGAAGAACATAATGTATGAAAACTCCTAGACATACAACCGAAATAAAAAGAAATAAGAACTATATACTTAACTATGAGCAAAATATGTATATTAAAATCATAAGGTGGGAAAGATATAAACTTTGGTTACAGCTTGAGGTCAAATGACTATGTAAAAAAACTATACAAATGAATCTTCCCAAATGTGTATCTATGTAAGTCTGTTCAGTCTTTGTCTTATATGTATGAAATAAAAAAAATAAAAACCCCCATAATTAACCTCTTAAAACATGAGACAATGAAAGTAGAGGTGATGGATATTGTGGGATTCAACATGGCACAGCTCATGCTAGAAGGAGTTGAGAAAGCAATGGAAGAAGAGGACAAGGGGAAAAATACTTGTGGATGCAGTGCAGAAAACTATTAAGAAACGAAAGAGTTTGTGAATAACTTTTATTTATTTTTTCAATTTATGCCTCGCTCTCCCTGCTGGAGCGGGCTCAGGGCTGCTTACAAAGCGATTAAACATATAGGTAACAAATTATATACAATCTTAAAGCAAATAATAAAACTCTACATTATCATAAAGTGCTAGTAAGTGATCAGGTACTTATAACAATGCTTACAGAAGGCAGAACCAGTACTACTGCTGTTATCAGATGATCTATATTGGTGGTTGGCCCGTCTTGGTCTCCATATTTAGGCAATAGCACAGGCTGTTGTTGGTAAGCCAAGGACCAGGGCACTGCCACTTCTCAGTTATTTGATGTTATTTGGTGCGCCTCCTTAGTCGAAGGCCTGGTGGAATAGTTCCATCTTGCAGGCCCTGTGGAACTGTAAAAGGTCCTGAGGGCCCTGATCTCTTCTGGGAGCTCATTCCACCAGTATGGAGCCACCACTGAGAAGGCCCTGGCTCTGGTTGTGGCCAGCCTCGCATCTTTAGGACCTGGGAGGCCAATCAGTTTTGTGACCCTGAGTGCAGTGCTCCCTGGGGAACATGTGGGGAAAGGCGTTCCCTCAGGTATGTGGGCCCTTGACCATAAAGGGCTTTAAAGGTAAACACCAGCACCTTGAATCGAATTCGGTATTTTACAGTGCCCGGTCCAGATCTGGTGTAAAGTCAGACTGGCCGCCCAACAACAGATAAAGCTGGGTGTCATCCACATACTGGTAACATCCCAGCCCAAAGCCTTCAGGCAATCTGGGCAAGGAGATGCATGTAGATGTTAAATAACATTGGGGACAGCACTGCCCTTTGGGGCACTCCACAAATCAGTGGGTGTCTTTGGGATAGCTGCTCCCCTAGCGCCACCCTGAAGGAAGGAAGCCAGCCATTGCAAGGCAGGCCCCTGGACTTCAGTGTCAGCGAGGCAGTGGATCAGTAACTGATGGTTGCCCATGTCAAACACCACTGACAGGTCCAACAGCAACGTCACTGCCAATTCGTCCCAATCCAGATGCCTTCGGAGGTAATCTGTGAGGGCGACCAGTGCCGTGTCCGTCCTGTGGCCTGGGCGGAAACTGGACTAGAAAGGATCTAGAATGGAAGTGTCATCCAAAAAGCTCTGTAGCTGAATTGCCATGGCTCTCTCAATTATTTTGCCCAAATAAGGCAGATTGAAGACCAGCCGGTAATTAGCCAATTCGGCCAGATCCAGAGATGGCTTTTTCAGGAGGGGATAAACCACAGCTTCCTTGAGTGCCATAGGGAACTGTCCCTCTGAGATGGAGTTGTTAATAATCTCCTTTAGGGCATCTCAAAACCCATCACGGCCAGCTTTAATTATCCATGATGGGCATGGTTCAAGGCAGCACATGCCTTGTGGCAGAACAGTCATAGTCTGAATTATTCTAAATAATTGGGCTGGGCATGAGCTCGCAGATGCATTTGTGGCTGCATAATACTCTCAGTGGCTTTGACTGCCATCTCATAGGATCTCATAAATGTCCTATAAGATGTGGCTTTGTCACAGGCGCACCGCTACTGTCTCTTGCTTCATCAGCCGCAACTCCTGGGTAAACCAAGGAGCCAGCCTAGAGTGAGGGCGCAGAGGGTGTCGGGGAGTGATCTCATCAATGGCTGCCGAGAGTCAGCTGTGCCAGTCCTCCACAAGCTCATCTAACTGAGGCAGTGTGACCTCTGCCATGAAGATCAGATTGAGTGTGTGTCTGGCCTGATGAGTGGGAGTCATTACTGTCAGACCCCAGAGGAGCCACACTCCACTCAGTAGTCCTTAATAAGGTTTATTGGTAAGATTTGGACTTCTGGTAAGGTCCTTTGTCAGAACTAACAAGCAATAGCACAGGATTGGTAATTGGGGAATGGGCCCCACCTCTCAGTCGTACGTCACACACGCACAGGTTTACTACAGGTCATGAAAGAATATACGACCTAACTAGCTATGTCTCAAGTCTTATTGCTCCCAAGGACACAGGCCCAGCTGGAACCTGTGAACCGTATGTGGGTAGCTTCGGGAAAATTATGGGCTGCGCCTCCACACTCCACCAGGCACTCATTCTCACACTCCCCTCCTCAGGAATGTCATGGAGGACTGATAAGGTAACAAGCAAGCCGGCAGATATGCAAAGTGGGCAGGGTGTACAAAAGCAAAAGTAAGTATTAGCAACACAGGGCAATACAGTTACCAGCATTGACCAAGAAAGGCGTCCGATCCTGACATACCGCCTCCCCTTAAACTCCCCCTCCCCCTGGTTTATCGGGATATAGTCTATGGAACCTTCGCAGAAGGGTGAGGGCCCGCACATGCTTAGATGCAACCCATTCATTTTCTTCAGGACCAAAGTCTTTCAATTTAATCAGGTACTATAACTGCCCATGAGACAAGCGGGAATCCAAGATCTCCTGAACAACATGGTGGTGTTCCCCATCAACCAGATGAGGAGACGGAGCTGGAGGCTTGTGTACCCAGGGCAAAGGACCTGGGTCCCATTTCAGGAGCCTATAGTGAAATACAGGATGTAGATAACACTAAGATTTAGGGAGGTCAAGTTCAACAGCCACTTTGTTGATGATACGCACTACCTTAAAGGGTCCTCCATATTTCCACCCCAACTGTGTAAATAGTTAAATAAATTCCTTAATTTGGGCTAATAATCTGTGTTGTGCTCTGACCACATAGTCTCCCCTGCTTTGCACAATACTAAAGGGAGGGGGTAGCCCAGGGAAGCAAGGAAAGGCCAGACCCTTGGGTTGCCAACTTTCCAGGGATCCCCCAAAGATTGGGGATTCCATCCCCAATAGGGAGATTCAGCCAGAGGGGTCTCACTGTCCCTCTAAAAACGCAGTGAGGGCTGGAGATCACTGAACATTACAACTGCTCTTCAAGTAGCAGAGATCAGTTCCTCTGGAGAAAATGGTGGACTCTATGTCATTATACCCTGCTGAGGTTGCCACAGCACATTGACGCTGAGTGCCCAAGGCCTTGGCACTCTCCCAGAGCTTCTTTCTAGAGCTCATTGTATTTATTTCCACAACGGGCCTTATTCCTAGTACAGACATAAAATCAAGCACACACACACAATACAGGACTAAGAATTCAGAGAGAAAAGTACAGAGACATTTGCATTAGCAGGAAGATTAATAGTTGGCTCTGCAGTGAAAAAGGGATAAAATGAGGGAAGGGGTCGTGAGTTGACCAGCAAGACATGTGGAGAGGTCCCAAACTGCTCAAGGAATGGAATCAGCAAGATAGGGTGGGGTTAGGAAAGGTAAAAGAGAGAGAGAGAGAGAGAGATGGCTAGGTGTTCTCTTTTTATACCTGAGCTATGATCTGAGGCAATTGCCTGTTGTCACACAGTCCCCAGGAAATATTAACTAAAAACTTAACTAAAAACTGAAATATTAACTAAAATATTAACTAAAAATATTAACTAAACTTTTGAATTGGGCAGAAAAGGGAGTAATGGTTGGGCAATTGCAGGTAATGGCTTGGCTAGAAGTGACCCCTCTTAGGAATGGGAAAGACAAAGGAGGAAATGAAGAGAACTATTCAGGTTGCAGGACCGGTGCTTTGGATTAATGATCAGATGCTTGAGAGCTGTGTTATCTCGATGGGCGGCAGGAAGACTTGATAGCTTGCTACTATCTTAATCAGGCACATCCTTTTGTTCTAACCTGGAAAGGAATGCATGTTTCACCTGTTGGTGTTAATATGTGGGGGGGGGGGACTGCTTGGCAACACTTGACATTACATTTTATGACACATATGGCCCGGTCCGACAAAGTCCAATTTATGTCAAATCCAGCCTTCGTAACAAGTGAGTTTAACACCCCTGTAATAGGCAATACACATATTTGGTAAAATACATTTTCAGTGTCATAGCCTGCTGCTTAATATGCTTCTGTGAGGTTATGAATGGGTGATTATGCGTAGGAGGTCGAGGCCAGTAATAGTACACAAAAAGTTTTTAAAGAACCCCACCCAAATAAGTCCTCTAAAATGTATTAAGGCTTTGGACTACTGCCATGTACAGTATGCATCTCAGCTTCATGCAACGAGATGGACTAAAAGCATGCCTAACATTCTAAGAGCAGTTAAACAGTCACAGAATGAAGAACCAACATGTGGACATGAAGCAGTGCAAACTTGGTAATATTGTTCACATGCTGTGCTCCATGAGGAATCACACATAGGTTGGATATGAAGACAAATGAAGATAAAAAAATCACACATGGGGTGGATATGAAAACAAATGATATGGCAATTTCTTGCAGACAGACTAATTTGTTACGTAATGGAGTTATGAAAGATTTCACAGGCTTGACTAGTCATTTTTCTCTGTTTTCCTTTTAATTGTACTCAACTTTCTTGAGCATTCTCAGTCTTCATTAGGACATCTGGGGAACAGGTTCTTTTTTGTTTGGTTGATTTTGTAAAGTTATATTTTATTTGCATGCCTGGTGAGTGTGTAGAAACCCATTGCTTATCTGTTGAAGGTTTTGTTTTACAGTTGCCATCACTGGCTTGGGGGCCAGCCGTTTCACTTTTAGGTAGCAGTTACAGTAGTGTTTATGGCCCAACTATCAACCATTTGGGGATTATTTTTTGGGAAACAAATATGAGAAAGAGTGTCTTTCAGCTGAACTTAAGTATAGTGATAAACAGAGAGGTTGGGAAAAGGAAGCAAGGTTTGAAAACAGTGCAGTGATGGAAACTCACAAATCAGGAAAGGCAAGGAAAGGTAATTTAAACAGTAGTTAGTGTTAAGCTAAATCTGTCCAAAAGGAGGCCACTCACAGTTGTGCATGTGGTGCAGATGGGGGGTGGGGGGAGAGCTTGAACTTGAAGTGGGAAGCAAGAGAAGGAAGGTCAGAAGTACGAGCTAGTGTTGTGTAGCTTAGTACAAGAACAGCATAGTGACCACGAGCTGGTGGAACAAAAGGGAGAAGAAGTGGGGGGGAGATGCATTGCTTATGGAAAAGAGGTCTTAGAAGTGGGGGGTCTAGGAGGGAGGGTATGGGGGAATGAGAGTGAGAAAGGGGAGGTGAACGAGAAATAAAAATTCATACTTTGCCTGATTCTGAAAAGTGAGCATTGTTAGATTATTGCCACAAAAGCTCAGTTAGTTTGGTCTCAGTGTAAGGTGATCCCACAGAGTCCCAAAACAAAGCCCTGGTGAATGGGAGCTGTAGTTTCTCCTGTAGGCCCTGATGCCTCACCAGGAAATGGTATTTTATTGTCCTTAATTCCTGTCCTGATTCTCTGGTTTCATCCACAGTGAAGCCTGGCCATGCTGCAGAGGCTTCAGGAGTGTAGGGGGTTCTGCAGTTATGGGATTGTGATGATACAATAAGTGAACCTCTCATAATATTGTAGAAATCTTCAGTTTTTAGTTCACAAGTGGAAAAATCGGGATTGACGGTTATTTTTCTGCCTTGCCAACTCACAAGCTTGGTTAAATACTTGCCTTATCAACAGCATCCTTTGCCAGTCATGAAAAATATTAACTTCAGCTTGTTCTGGATCTAATAATTATTGATGCTGTGTGTTCCACCCGTAATGCTGTCTAGTGAAAGAGTCTACAGAGAATAGCTTGTGGTTAGTCACCAGTAGATAGAGATTGAGTTTGGTGACCTTGGACATATGTTTTAAAAGAAACTTTTGAACATTACCGGATCTTTTCTTTGCTCAGGCTTCTCAAACCCAATAATTCAAATATTCTGCCTTGGGCAGAGACTTCTAAAACAGCTGTTTTAATCTACAAATACTTAAGCTTCCTTGGTTTCCTTTGAAAACACTGTTGTAGCTCAGTCTTGGTAGGAAGAGAATTTAATCCTCAGCTGTTCTGAAGTGTGCCACAAGTTGATTTAATGAAGCTTTTAGATCCGTGAGTTCTGTACCAAACTGCTCTACATTGGTCTTAATCGCTTTACAGTCTTTCATGCCATCCTTAATTACCTTGATCTGCTTCATGTCTACAGCCTGAGTTTCAAGTAGTTCTAGAGGGAAATGTTGTCTGCTGTTTCAGGAGTATCCACCATTTTGTATCTAAATGTGAAGTGGCTTCAGCTTGTGAAGTCCCTCCCTTTACTGTATTTATCATGTACACATACATATAGATCAAGATGGGTAGCCGTGTCAGTCTGTCCATAGCAGTAGAAAAGAGCAAGAGTCCAGTAGCACCTTGAAGACTAACAAAATTTGTGAAGAAGTAAGCAGTGACTCAACAAAGCTCATACACTGCCACAAATTTTGTTAGTTTTTTAAGGTGCTACTGGACTCTTGCTCTTTTCTCCTTACATATAGAAGGGGAGAAAAACACAAGTTAGCTGTTCCTACCAATACATTAACAGCAAAACTAATACTAGTCTTTTTAGTAAACTAAAATTCCTACTTGGTAAGCTGTTCATTTAATACTAAAGTCTTTTATAATACCATTTAATAGTCATAATCTAGTGTATGATCAAAAGTCAGTTTAGCAGTTTTCAGAAGGATTTTCCCAGATTATCTCACCAGCACCTTTTGTCCCAAAAATACAAAGAAAAAAATCTCCCATCTATGAATGTTTCTCAATTCATGAAAATATCAAATATCCAGTGCACTGTTTCCTGTTACTTTCATACAGCCAAATACCACCTATATAAGATTCTACCATAATGTTTTCCCTCTGAAACATTGTAGAAGCAGCTTTCTTTGAAAGTAGACAGAATAACATACAGTCTTTATTCTGTATCAGATTTTGAGTCCAGTAGTACCTGAAAGACTCTTAAGTCAAAGCTCACTTCATCAGATATAAAGAAAACTCTATAGAAGTCGAATTTTGTTCTGCTACTGTGGTCTAACACGGCTATCCACCTGTAGTCTTAACACCAGTTACCCACTTTGTTAGTCACAGATCTTAAGTGAAAAAGGGAATAAACTCGATTTACTTTCAATCTCACTGCCTAAGAATGAGGGAATTGGGCCCATGATGCAACTAAATGAGTATGCTTCTGCCAACATAGGGATTTTCTTAGATTCCCAGAATATTTGACCACTGTTTTTAATAAGCAGTCAAATAAATGAACAGTGTCCCAGCTCTATAATTGTGTTTAGGCAAATGCATTGATACCTGAGTTTTATAAAAATATTTCTTTGTTATATAGAGAAATCTCTGAAGATAAATGCTTGTTTACTTCCTTAGGAAGCTGTATTAAGACCTGTCCTGGACTGCATTGACCTTGTTAGTAGTGGAGATGAGGAATCTAGCAGTTCTTCTAATGTGAGTATTACATTATACTTAAAATATTTGGGCAAAAGTTTTCTTTGGAGTTGTTCTGATCTGCCTCATTTTTGTAAGCTTGCACTCGTTTGGCCAACTGTATGTGGGGTGTATCCTGAATCTCATTTTTTCTGTAGTAAGATCTGAGATTGTAGATGGCTTAAAGGAGACTGTTTTTTTAAAAAAATGCCATGTAAATGAGAGCTACAGTTGTGTGTGCCATGCAGTTTTTAAATTGCAGCTGCATGTTTCAAGGGAGCTGAGTGAATCTGCATAGTTGATATGCTGCCATAGAAAGGAGAAGGGATGGTGGTGGCATTCTTTGCATCACTTCTGAACAGCTGAGGTATAATAGGAGAAATGGGCTGGGATTAAAACCTCATACCCTAAGAAAGCAAAGGTGCAGGGTGCTATGAATGGGGTTGCTCTGATAAAACAATACTTGTTTATTTGCTGAAATGGGTAAGCAGATCCCCAGTTTCAGTAAAGGGTAGAAATATCAACTTTCTAGAAATAGTCACAATTGTGGGCTTATTGCTGTTCTATGTCTTTGATAAGTTTGTAATGAAATCCTTGAAAATGAGAATTTTTCCTGCCAGGTATGGTAATGGTTGCTCTTTTCTGGCTTCTCTCTGGTAGCTGGTTATTTCAGTAAATATGTTCGTCAGTACAACTGGAATGTTTTGTCCAATATAGAGATGTAAAATTTCTGAAACACCTGAAGCTATGGTAAAAAAGTTGGGGTCCTCCCCCTCCCCCCAGAAATGTGTTTGCAAATTCTGGGGAAACCTTTAGTTTCTGTAGTCCGTGCTACCTAAGAACCAGTGTGGTATGGTAGTTAAGAACGGTGGACTCTAATCCGGAGAATCGGGTTTGATTCCCCACTTTTCCACATGAAGCCTGGTGGGTGACCTTTGGCCAGAGAGTGGGTGACCTTAGGCCAGTCACAGTTCTCGCACAAACCTCTCAGGCCCACCTACTTCACAAGGTGTCTGTTGAGGGGAAAGGAAGGGAAAGGTGATTATAAGCCGCTTTGAGACTCCTCAAGGTAGAGAAAAGTGGGGTCTAAAAACCTACTCTTCTTTTTTGCTTTTTGAGAGGCAGTAAAAGATGAACATAGAAGACACGTTCTCAATCAGTGGAGGAGTGTATGGGTCATGCCTCCTTGCTCCGTGGGCAGGGCATATGCAACCTTGAGGAGCAGGTCTCCTTCCATGGATCCAACAGGCCAATGTGACATGGGCTTTGACTCTAAGCCACCAGATACCTATGGAAGAACCAAGCCACGGTACTAGTTCTGAAGGCATAAGGTTTTCTAGGACCTTCTCTGTTCATCATGCCCAAGAATCATGGCACTTGGAGACCATTCTTAGATCTACAACATCCTCAGATACTGAGAAGACGGAGATAGCCATCTGTTAAGTCTTTGTTCCACAGAGACCAGGTGTCAGGGTTTGATAGTCAGATCACACCAGACAGCGCTTCATAAGAAGAATTCTGTTTATTGGTAGTTCATAACTACGACACGTGTATTTCTTGTTTCAGGAATGGCCCGAAGCATCAAGGCACCCTGAATTATACTAGGTTCAAAACACACACACCCTACAAGCAAAGGCCAATAAGCAGTGTCCGCGCATCCGGGGAAAAGACAGCGGGCAAAGTAGAAACCGTTTGTTCCCACACGAGTTGGTAGCAGCTGGCACATCCAAGGTCAGAAAAGCAAAAGCAGATAAAACCCAGATAGTAGACTCCGTTAGTGTACCAGGCAGAGGCCATGAGGATTCCCCCCACACATTCCAGACAATGGCAGTGTTAACTGACATCCTGCCCTCACAAAAGCTCTCCCCCGGTTTACCCGGGAAACGATGGTGGAACTTGTGCAGTAGACAAGGGGCCTTCATGTGAACCCACCTCCATCCACTCATGATGTTGCGGCCCAAAGTCAGCCCATTCCACCAAATAGTACAAGTTATTTCGCTTAAGCTTGGAGTCCAAAATATCGGCCACTTCAAAATGCTGTTTGCCTTGCATCAACAGGGGAGGCGGCTGCGCTCATTGGGGTCTCCAAACATTAGGTCCAGGATCCTGTTTTAGGAGACTGAAATGGAAAATGGGATGCAGTAACTTTAAATTTTTAGGCAACTCCAGTTCAACAGTCACATCATTGATTTTACGCAACACATGAAAAGGGCCGATAAACTTCCACCCCAGTTTACGCATAGGGTGAAGACCCTGGATGTTCTTAGTGGAAACATAGAGCAATTGCCCTGGCTGGATGTCCCAGCCCTCAGAACGTTTTTTGTCAACCTGTGCTTTATAAGTGTCTTTGGCCCTATCCAAAGTCTTGCACAGGACCGGCCATGCGTCCCGCAAACGCTGACACCATTCCCCCACATCCCCCTCAGGCAGGGTAGAGTCCGTCAGGAAAGGGAGGGGAGGGGCCTTATATCCATAGAGAGCCATGAACGGGGAGACCCCCGTAGATGAGTGACATGCATTATTGTAGCAAAACGCGGCAAAAGGGTGGAGCCCCTCCCAGTCATCCTGTTGATAGTTGGTGAAACAATGGAGGTACTGCATCAGGGTTTGATTTACCCATTCCGTTTGGCCATCAATCTCTGGGTGGTAAGCGCTACTCAGGCCCCGCTCCACCCCCAACAGGTCCATGAGTTCCTTCCAGAACTTGGAAACAAATTGCGCCCCACGGTCGGAGATTATCTTGCAGGGCAAAGTATGTAGCCTGAAGACCTGTTGGATAAATGCTTTGGCCAGAAGGCGAGCCGTAGGCATGGACTTAAATGGGACAAAATGGGCTTGCTTGGTAAAAAGATCCACTATCACCCATATAACCGTTTCCCCCCGGCTGGGAGGTAAATCAGTGATGAAATCCATGGAGATCACCTCCCACAGGTGGCCGGGGGTGGGCAAAGGCCAATAAGCAATGGCCAATAAGCAATGTCCGCGTGCGCAGGGAAAAGAGAGCGGGCAAAGTAGAAACCGTTTGTTCCCAGCGAGTCGGTAGCAGCTGGCACATCCAAGGTCAGAAAAGCAAAAGCAGATAAAACCCAGACAGTAGACTTTATTAGTTGACCAGGCAGAGGCCAGGAGGATTCCTCCCACACATTCCAGAGAATGGCAATGCTAACTGACATCAGGATATCTATCTTATCCCAGTCATCCTATGGAACGGGTCTAGCTTAAATTAGAGGTCCAGGGAATTTCCCACATCTACCTGAGAGGATAACAGTCTTCATATCTCTGGATTCCATTGCATGCATGGGTAGGGCCTCTAGTTCAGTGAGACACTACCAACTAAACATGTTTTCCTCAGCTATGGCTACTTTAGACAGAAATCAGAAAAGTAGGTCCTTACTTTCTCTACTTTCCATTTTTCCCCACCTGGGATAATAGTGCTTTTCAGTATTCTGTACAAGGATGCCTTCCTTCACTGATGAGGAGAAACCTTCACAGTAAGTCCAATGTTTCATTTTATGATAGGCCTATATGCTATGGCTGCCAAATATGTGCAAAGATGGTGTCTGAAGCTTAAAAAACTGTCGTCTTGTAATCCATTTTAATTGTGTGGCATTTTATCTTCATCTTTTTTATTCTTCTTATGTTTTATCTGTGTTTTATTTAGACCAACTTTGTAAGGGCCTTCGGCCTCATGCAATAAGCAATTATTACTACACACATTTTATAGTAAGAGAAAGAGAAGTTTCTGACACTAAATGTCTAGGCTTGTCCGATGCCACCAACATTCCAACAGTGTGGGGAACAAACCCTTCATCAGTAGCACTTTAGCCACATGGATTGTATGGTGGCTAAAGGAGGATTTATAAGCAAAGGTCCAAAAACAATTGTGTACTACCTTTTATCACCACTAGCACAACACTAAGAACTAAAACTTGCAGCTGTCAGACAATCCTAGGATATTCTGGCTATTCTAACACGATGCCCTACGATAATTATTAATTACTAGTAGCAAAGCTCGTTGTAAAATCAATACAACGTGCCCTAGAAAGATGTTGGCTTGCAGGGGGGCGCGGCAACAGGTGAGGACAGGGCCAGGGGAGGGAGTGCCTGCGGCAGTGGCGTATCTTCGCTGGGGGAAGGGGCAATGGGCGGAGACAGCAGGTGGTGGCGAGGTGTGGGTAGGCAGTGGTGGCACAGCAGGGCAGGAGCTTTGGCTGCCAGCTGTGCAGCTGCTGGCCGACTGATCTGCAGGTGTCCAACAGCTCGAGTGGCGCCTCCCTGGCACTCTCCGGCGGGGTGGGCCAGCACTCGACCTTGTTTCCCCAGCTGAGAGCGGTGAGGAAAGGCCCTGCTTTGGCCGGGGGCTCGTCCATTGTGGCAGAAGGGAGATCTGAGGCAGCAACAGCTGTTCTGGCAGGCCTTGCACGTGGCTGCTGATTCCCTGCTCCCCTGAACGGCTGCTTGTGGCAACTGCCGCTGCCTGCATAGGAAGAGCCGTTGTGACCAATGGCGACACAAGACTCAGCCTTCTCAGCCTCCGCCCACCAGAGTGTCCATCCTGCTTGTTACCTCACACGACACTGAGGCCGAGACGCTCGCTGCTGCTTCTGTGGGCGGGACTCCAGCAATGCAGCCACTGGATTGGCACATTGTTGGAGTGACAGGTGTGGGAGTCAAATGCTGTGGGAGCGTGAGTAATGTTCAGGAAAGAGTCACCCTAAAATACAATTATATATAAGGAGATATTATTAGGACCAACCAAAATACTACACAACAATGTGTGTTTCAGTTCTTCAGAATTATTCACCAGTTGAGTATTCAGTACAAAAAAAGGGAGGGGAAGAGAAAATAAGTGTTTTGGGAAATGGTGGGAAAATCTCAACTTTGCGTCTTGTAGACATAATGCTTAGTGGGCTGTTTTTCCCTCTAACCATGCTTTAAATTGATTCCCAGTTTTGTTAGTATAATGACTATATGAAAGAATATAAGTGTTTAATAAATAAATAAATATAAAATACTCCTTCCCCCCTCCCCTTTGCTCTATTCCTTTTAAGGGACCTGTATGTTTCATTTGGTGTCAGAAAAATGTTTGATGATATTCCATGTTCATGAAGAAGAGAATGCCACAATTTCCCCTTTCTCCTTTTTCTGCTGGCCACTTTTGGTGCAACACAGAAACCTGTTTTGCACCCACCACCATCTAATCTGCTTAGATTTTTAACGCATCCTGCATTATAGTCTGCAGACCTCAGGCTTTTCAGAATGTGGTTGAAACAACTTGTTTTCTCTTTTGTTTTTCTACTGAATATCCATCCAGATGAAGTGTTCTGGAGGCTTCAGACACTTGCACACTGTCTTGAGATATTTTGGATGGTTTTAGTTTTAAAAAAACTGCAGAACTTCTGTTTTTGTACTGTTGCTATTGAGTAATGTGACTACTGTTTCTGTTTATAGGAGGCAATGTAATGCCCACAAGTGGTCTCTTTTAGATATTGTATTAAGAAGAGAAAAAAAATCATAATTAATCATTCTCACAAGCAGCAAAACAAATTCAGTTGCTATGACAAATTCTGGTTTAAAACTGCTGTCTTTTCCATATTTTCCCCAACAATCCCAACTCCATAAAACCTCCCCAAGACTACTGTGACTATGGGATCCATGGACCCATTTCTCTAACAGCAGTGCTTTCCCCTGGCAATAGGAGTCTTCCTTTGATATGAGGCTTGAAGGTTCTCTTGCTCTGAGGAAATCAGCTCATGTTAGCAAATTGGATCAGCAGGATCCAGCCCTATGGACTACAAACTGAATCTTGGCTATTCACCTGACAGACATTGGTCCATGGTATTATACTGTCATAGTTCAATAGAAGCTTAGTGAGGCAGCTCAGTTTGTTCTTGCACCCATGTTGTTTGAGGATTGTTGTGGGAGAGGGGAAGAAAGTTCAAAAAACTCCAGAAGAATATTGCATTGTCCCATAAAGAGGCAAACCTACTTACTTGGAATTTTTCGTCCTCTATTTAGTTGAACTGTGTAATGGTGTTGACTAACTAGCCATTTATGAATACTTTTTTCTTAATTTATAGAAAAAAGTAAAATGCAAAGACTACATTGACTACCAGAAGGAAAGGGTTGCTTCAACCCTTGATCGCCTGGCGCGGCATGTAGAGGTAGAGAAACAGCTGAAAGAAGAGAAAAACAAAGCTTTTAAGGTATGTTTCTTTACAAAGCTATGGCAAAAATACCATGGCTTGATTTTGTAGTATAATACGAAGGCATAAACCTGACTAAATGCCACATGCAACTGTTGGCCATATTACTTTTGATGAGGAGGCGACCCAGGGGCCACATTTATCTATTGGAGGCAGCTGTTCCTATCTGGCTGTGATGGCTCCTTGGATTCTCGTATGCTTCCCACCCAGCATTACTCAAGCCAAAAATATTTGAAAATTGTTATTGTAGTGTTTTACATTACACTTGTGCTCATATGTTTGTATTGGCTGATCTTTGATTGGAATGAATGAATGAATGAAAGAAAAAATGTTGCATTACATGCAACCCTAAGTGGCTGTAATAGGGAAATGCTGATTATAGTGTATGCTGTGGGCCAGCTTCTAGCATTTCCCTTACACTTAGGAAGGCTTTAAAGGAAGAAGCTGCTCAAGACTCTGAAACTAGCACTGTCTTTTTCATGTAAAACTATTCTTATTTTGGCTCTTACATTGCATTAAAATAGCACATTCTAGCAGTTATACAGGCATCCTTGACTGGTCTTTTCCAAAGAACTTGTTGTTCTTGGTCCAGCTTCTAACGAACAAACTTTGTTATCTCACAAACAAATGACATGGCACAGTTACGAAGCAATTCTGCAAAGAGATGGAGGTGAGGATAGAGGAACAAAGAGACACAAACATATATATATTTAAAAACGAGGGGATACGTAGGCCATTGCAGGGTCATTTTGGTTCCTCTTTCTTCCCTTCTCTGGCAGCCCCCATAGCCTCTCTCCTTTTCCTGCTACCTTCTCTCCTTCCCACCTACCAGATGACGTACCTTTATCTGCCCCATATCCAGCTGTTTTATTTATGTCCTATATACACTTCCTTTTTACACAGTGCAGACCCTAAGCAGCTTACATGATTCTCCTCTCCTCTATTTTGTCCTCACAACAACCCTGTGAGGTAGATTAAGCTAACTGTGTTTGACTTACCCAAGGTCATCCAGTGAGCTACAGCAAATGAGGATTCAAATTTGGGTCTCCTAGATCTTAGTCTGAAATGCTAACCACTGTACCACACTGGCTTTCGTGGTGTAGCTGCTTTTGAACCAGTAGCAAGCAGCCGAGCCTGGGTAGTTCATGCAAGTCGTGTGGTAGCAAGACACCCAGTTATTGTTTCCAGGTGTGGTTCCAATGAGTCCTCCCTCAAAAGCCAAAACAGCCCTTGAAAAAACCTTGTCACCTACACCTGCCTTTTACTAATAGAAAACAAGGCTTGAATGCTGGCAATATTGTTGTAGTTTTCTAGCAACAGCCACTAAGGGCATTTATTTCTTAAAGCTAGAGGTACTCCTTTTATCATTTTTGAGGGTTAACTTTGCAATGATTTGTTTTTAAGATTTAAGATTTTTCTGCCAACCTGGGGCTTTTCTTGGGTTTGTAGAAAGATCTGTGTTGGCCGTTTGTGGCTCTAGTTTCTGGATTTAAGTATCCAAAGATGCGGCAATGTTGAGAATTAGATATATTCATATTCTGGGACTACAGAAGGACCAAATGTTGGCTTACGACTTTATTCAAGGCTGTAACATATGCTTTCCCAAAGAAAGCAGCTTATCCTATATATATAATTCCCTTACGTATTGGCCATTTCCAGCTCACACACTGGCTGTGCAGTGTGCTCCATCAGCCATTGGCCCAGCAACCGCCACTCAAGAGTACTTGCATGCCATTGGCTGGGTGCTGGGTCCGCTGCTCTCCCCCGCCCATTGCCAGCCTGGACACTTTTCCGTCACAGAATAAGGTATCAAAATGGCTGTCTCTCCTGATGAAGACAGTTCTCCTGCTTGGCTCCTGTGGGACTAACTTTTCCCTCAGTGGCTGTTGCTAGGCAACCAAACTTGGTTCTGTCAGTAAAAAGGCAAAGAAAGGAAGTCCTTTCTAGGCCTTTGTAGGGAACTCATTGGGGCCAGTCCTGACTAGGGTTGCCAGATCCAGGTTGGGAAATCCCTGGATATTCTGTGGTGGAGTCTAAGGAAGCAAGAGTTTGGGGAGGGGAGAGGCCTCAGCTGAATAGAATGCCATAGAGCCCAACCTCTGAAGCAGTTATTTTCTCCAGGGGGGAAGATATCTGTTGTCTGGAGTTCAGTTGTGATACCGGCGATCTTCAGGCTACACCTGGAGGTTATATACAAAAATATATATCACTGTGTACAATAAATATATGCTTATGGTAAAACAATTTTATACTTTATTCTTTTTCTTTTTATATTTTTCAATACGATTGTCTAAATATTGGTATCAAATATTATCAAAAAATGATACATGCAGAGCCTCTTTCTAGAGCTCACTGTATTTATTTCCACAACAGGCCTTATTCCTAGTAGTTCTATAAGAGTATGAAATTTGCCATGAAGGTCTGTGTGCTGTGTTTAATCTGTTGTGACTTTTTCCATGGTCCCTTGCTAAATTTATTTGATGACACCTTCCCAGCCTTGTACTGGGAGAAAAACAACAGTGGGTTTTATAAGGTTTGCAGGCAGTAGATTGCCAACACTGAGCTATTGTATTAAATCTAGTTTTGAATCTTTCAGTACATAGATTATAATGGGCTGGCTTAGTGCACAGCATAGCCATAATGTCCCCGCCACAAATTTTTGGTTAAGATAAAAAGGAATGTTCTTATGGCAGCCTGTGTCTAAAAATGGATGCTACAAAAACTGTAACAGAAATCTATAATACTTTAGAGAGCTCAGGCTAATAATGCAGATGGCACTAAGTTGCAGCTGGAGGAGATGTATTGATCTAGGAGGAGAATCATCAAAGCAGGTTCCCATGAGAAATTAGAAACATTCATTCATAGTAGTGGTAATTGATGTAGACCTTTGAAAATTATTGTTCTGAACCATATAGATTGCTAAAGGAAGACATTGTTATCAGCATTTTTGGTGTAAATTTTTTTTTGTAAATATACAAGCTTCTTGTGTTTGCCTTAATCAGTTCTCATTCAACATGGAAAATTTAACAACAAAATTAATGGCCTATATTTTTCTAATAATTGGGACCATCATTAGGAAAAAATGGACTCCCAGCATGCTCATGGACTGCAAGAACTAGAATTTATCCATGGACAGAGTGATACAGAAGCAGCAAGACTGTGTGTGAATCAGTGGCTCAAAATGCCAGGTAATTCATTGGGTGTGCCAATCACCAGAGATACCTGCATTTCACTCTTCTGTTTAAAAAGGTGCTAAAGCTCAGTGGCACAGCACATACTTTTGTATGTAAGTACTAATATTCAGTATTTATATAGTATGTTCTGAGAGTTTTAAGGGCTTCACATATAAGCAACCAAGCACAATCCTTAGTGATCCAGCTAAAGGATCTTGCTTAGGTTTGACTTTCAGTTTCTGGATTCAGAATGCGGTGTTAATCACAAACTGTAAATATGGTACCCAATTTTAATGGTTTTATTACGGTTTTTTAATTAGACATAATTAAAGTTTAAACAATGAAGTGCATCCTTCCGTTATTATAGATTAACATTAAACCTGGATAGCCCAGGCTAGCCTGATCTTGTCGGATCTTGTCCGCCCTGGCTAGTATTTGGATGGGAGACCTCTAAGGAATCCCAGGGTCATGACATTGAGGCAGGCAATGAAAACCACCTCTGAATGTCTCTTGCCTTGAACACCCTGTGTGGTTGCCATAAGTCATCTGTGACTTGATGGCACTTTCCACCACCACAACATTAAAAATATCTGTATAGGTTCAGCCTTCCCTTTTCCCCTTGTCAAAG